ATTATTTTGTGTGCGTGTACCGTCAAATCAGATCTGACTGGTACAGGAGGATATTGCGCCTCCTTCTCCGGCAGAGCATCTGGTGGATTCGAACCGTGTTTCCCTGGGATTGCAGTGCAGCTTCTTGCCACTAGGCCACCAGAGCTCCCCTAAACTGGAGGTCTTAAGAAGCAAAAAGGAGGCTTGCTATTGTGTATTCTGCATATAGATTGTAAACAGACTTTTTCCCAGAAATGTCTTATTGATTTTTAAGACTCAAGTCTCTAGCTTGATCTGTGAATTTTGGACTTACCATCCATTTAAATGCATAAACTAATTTTCTTAAAATAAATCTCTACCTATCTTTAAAAAAAATAATGGGTGACTGGAATGTGAAAGTTGGGAACAAGGGAGAAGGATCAATATTTAGAAAATATGGACTTAGTGACAGAAATGAGGCTGAGGATAGAATGATAGATCTGCATGTTGTTGTTATTTTTAAGGGCTGTTGAGTCGTAGGCGACTCATAGTGACCCTATGAACGAAAGACCTGGACACTTGTATAACTTTTTTCCTTTCCCCAGGTTCATAGGGTTTCCAGAGGCAAGCTATTTCAGAAGTGGATGCCACTCCTAATTCCAAGCTTGTCTTAATCTGGGAGCTCCACCAAACACTGTCTGCCATGGGTAACCAATCTTGCATTTGACTCATCAGTGTCACAGTGTTCAGCTTCACAGCAACCACTAATTACCTCTGTACAGCAAGTGGACAGACCAGTGTTATACGACCTAGAAGAATGTTTCACAAAAAACAATGAAAGACAGGCCTGAGAGCCTCATATTATGGTCACCCACCTTTGGCTTGGTATCATCACTTTCTGTCCAGTAGGCCAACTGATCTCTCTCTATGCTGTTGTTGTTCTTAAATGCTGTCGAGTTGTAGGCGACTCACAGTGACAGTATGAACAAAAGACCTGGACACTTGTATAACTTTCATCCTTTCTCCAGGTTCTTTTATAAGAAACATAGACACAGGCTATACACATGGATTTCACCTGATGGAATCAGACTGATTAGATGTGTGGAAGGAATCGTTGGAAAATTCAACATCAGCAGTGAAAACTAGGCCAGGTGCTGACTGTGGAACAGACCATCAACTATTCATATGCAAGTTCAAATTAAAGCTAAAGAAGGTTAAATCCTATCTACAGGAATAACAATTTGATCTTGAGTCTATCCTCCCTGAATTTAAAAATCAACCCAGGAACAGGTTGTGGCCTTGAACACTAATGAATGAAGACCAGATGAACTATGGGAAGATATTGAGAATATTGTTCACAATAAAAAGGAATATTTTGGAGGAACATCATTCTCAATTATGCAACACTCCTCTGTCAATTTTGCTGCACTGAGATAATCTAGGTTTGCTGTGATCCTGAACCTTGTGCCATTGAGGGACAAATGCCACAATGGCTACCCAAGGTGGACAGTGTTTGGTGGAACTCCCCGGTTAAGACAGGTTTGGGAGCAGGAGTGGCATCTATTTCCTAAACCTAAGCCTCTGGAAACTCTGGAAACAATGATAATTACACAAAGGCTTTAGGCCTTTTGTTCATAAGGTCACTATGAGTTGTGTGCAACTAGATGGCATTCCACAACAACAACAACATTTAAAAAGGTATTTGGTCACCAGTATGAGGCTGGAATCCAGGTTTGGAAGTAGTCTGGAGCAGCTGATTTGTTTTCTAGTTCTAGTGAGGATTAGAGTGGAATGATTACTTGCCTTTTGGGGGTGTCAGTTGACTGCATTT